TTCTAGCTGCAGATCGTTCTGTAAAAAAATTAACATTATGGAGAATTTTTCTGACTTCTTCCTGCTTCAGTTTCTTTCAAAGTCCTCTAAGGACTTCCAATCAAGTTTGTGGAATTGATGAGAAAGTAGTTGAGTTTTTTCCTGACCAGTATTCTAGGTTCTGGGAAAAAGAAATTAAAGGTGCCATTCCACCTCCTTTTATCTGTCCTTTCCCCCCATCAGCATTAGATTTTCATTGATTCAGACTTCCATCTAGAGGGAGGGAGGGAGGGTGGGAAGAAAGGGAGGAGAGTAAGGAAGGAGGGAGGGAAATTTAATTGGGGAAATTTAATTAGAACATTTAGAAATTGAGAGATAGTGTGAGAGAGAAAGTGAGAAAGAAAAAGAAAGAAAGAAAGAAAGAAAGAAAGAAAGAAAGAAAGAAGAAAAGGAGAAAGGAAGAAAGGAAGGAAGGAAAGAAAGAAAGAAGGCAGGAGAAGGAGAAAAGGAAAAAGGAAGAAAAGAAAGAAGGAAAGAAAGAGAAGGAAGGAGAGAAGGAAATGGATTGAATATCTTTTAAATGTTCTGATTAAATCTGACAAAAGAAACTCTGCTTTTGAAATTGACAGAAATCAATTTCAAATAGTTTCTTCTAAGTGCAGGATGTTGCAGATTCAGCGGAGCTATGAGGGTTGGCCTGGAGATGAGAGTGGCACCCTCCAGGTGAAAAGCGAAATAATTAGACATGGGAGTGGAACCCAAGAAAAGGAGAAGATCAGCAGCACCTCTTCAGATAATTGTTCAGAGGAACAAAAAAAAAAAAAAAGGTAGAAGTAAGCCACTGTAATAATTCAACACGTAATTTTAAAAACCCCTTTGATAGGAATGCAATAAAGGACTATCTGGATGGTTACTTTCAAAGTCTGAATGAACGTCCTCCCCCCCGTCAAAGAAGCTGGAACTTACCCTATTTATTTTGTCTTATCTGCCAATAACTAAAGAAGTATCAATGCAGAGAGGATTGAATATAGCCAATGTGTTTATTCCCATTGATTCATTTTTCAGCTTTAATATGACTTCCTTTTAATCTGTATTTTATTGTTGCTGGTTTCCATGACCGCTGTTTTTGAGCAGAAAGACAAACAATTAAATAAAGAAATGTCATTCAGTTACAGACCTTGAGTTGGTATGATCATCATACCAAGGCTTCAGTTAAATGGAGGATTCCATTGATTAGAATTAGAATTCCAACAAAATGGGAAACTTATGATACTAAACCTGACCTCATAAACCCTAAATGCCACTGGTATTTCTCAACTTGAGTGGGATGAAATCCTTCTACAAACTACAATCTTGAGGATGGTCCCTTTGAATTTTGTTCACTCTATTAAGGTGGTCTTTTGGCTCATCGGAACAAGATGCCAGTGCCTCTTAGAGCTGTCCATGGTCCTGTAGATCCTGTTTTCAACCAGTACTCTGTTGCTCATCCCATTCTCTACTATCTAGTCTGTGGCTGTTTCCTGCTTCTGATCAGCAGTCATTTATTTAAGTATCTCTTGAGTAAGAGTGAGGAGATCAATTTAGAGAAAAGGAGGCAGGCCCCAGATGGAGCTTTCAGACATTGCAGATGCTCCATCACTGGAAGTTTTTAAAGAAGATGGATGACCATTTGTCTGAAATGGTATAGAATCTGCTGCTTGAGCAGAGGGCTAGACTAGAAGACCTCCAAGATCCCTTTCTATTCTGTTCGGTTCTGTTCTGTTCTGTTCTGCCCTGCCCTGCCCTGCCCTACCCTACCCAACCCTACCCTTCCCTTCTCCTATCCTATCCTATCCTATCCTATCCTATCCTATCCTATCCATACAGATTTGTTCCCCTGGTATTTCTAATAAGGCTGGACAGAACCATTTGAAACCATGAAGTGCTGGGTCTCTTTTGCATAGCAAACATTACATTAGCTAGAATAATTTGCATTGATATAAGGAAAAGGTGAGATGGTTCTTCCTTCCCAGCTTTAGATGACCTGAGTGACCCTCACCTTAAGATAGGGAGAGAGCTTTCTAGAGGCTTATACCAGAGCTCAATTCATTCCATGCAGGGCAAAATTCAGTTTAGTTTCCATTCCTATTTGTTTGCATGATTAACCACTGTCCAAGCTTCTGGATGTCTAAGCCGATTACGGTGGATCTGTGTACCATTTCCTAAGTAGACTGACTGATCGATTGATCAAGGGCAGATGGGATGTGACAGCAGAATATTATGGCAGACTTCTCATAGTGATGAATGGGCCCACCTTGACACACACTCCAAGGCTTTGCCTCTCAGTAATAAATCTCAGCTCGGAGTCATCTATCTCTGACCTGACGTATGGAATCAACAACTTGGGATACTGAAAATTTCATTGTCTTTATGAACATTTAAGTTGGCTCGGTGGCATAAATGCACACCTTCAGCTTTCAATCTCTTTAATAGTGGCAGGCTTCATATTATTACTTTCTTCCTCTTCTTTTTTTGGTAAGTGTGTGTGTGTGTGTGTGTGTGTGTCTTCTCTGTGTGTGTGCATGTGTATGTGTGTGTGCATCTCCATCCTCGCCAGCTAGCGAGCGGCGAGATTTTTGCTTCTATACCCTATTCTAATGAGCTATCATAAGGGAAGGCTGAAATGGTGAAAATAGCATATAAGATTAAATTTAGTAAAGGTATGATATAGCCAATGTCCTAACAGCAGATGCCAACAATAAGCTCTCCTCGATATTATCAAGTCGGGATTTGAGTATCTTGGGTTTCATTGCACAGGCATAAAATCAAGTAACTCAGGCAACATTTTCGACTTAGGGAACGCTTTCATTTTTATAAGCAGAGGGGAAAATTGAAAAATTTTATCTAGCATTATCTGAGAGGTCGACATCTTGAAGCCTTTAGAGAGGTGGATGTAGGGATTGGGAAAGGAGACAAGGCTTAATCCAATATTGTATTTCTATTTTAAAGATGTTATTATTTGTACCTTTGAAACAATGTTGATGCCTAGTGACTACCTCGGTGAGTCCCAGAAGTCTGCGTCACAAGATTTTCAGAAATGATGTGCCATTGCTAAGTCCCTGATAGTGAGAACAATCAACCAGTGGCATGGCTTGTCTCCAGAAGCTGTGGTTGTTATATTATTGGAGGTTTTCAAGAAGAGACTGGATGGACAATGGTCTTTTGCTTGAGCAAGGGGTCGGGCTAAAAGACCTCAAGGTCCCAAGCCTATTATTCCATCTCTTGTTCAAAGGGGTGCACTAGAGAGCGTGTTCTTTGCAGCGTTCCCCAGGGCAGTTTGCCACGCCCATAAGAGCACACGTGGAGCAGGAGATCAAAGTGAAAGAGGAAGTAGATCAAAGTGAAGGGAATTCAACTATAGGAAGGGAACAGAGTGTTGCCTTCTTCCACAATGCTGATTTTAATCCATTGAAAAGACTGGGCTTTATGAAATTCACTTAAGAGTGTTGTTAGTCTCAATAAAAGCTCTTGAAGAGTTTCTGATAAAGCATCAGGATCACGAGCTGTTTCATTTATTGGCTGATTACAAAGGAGGATGGAGCAAATATGCAAAAGGGAAGGACAGCATTGCAAATGGATTCTCTTGGCCCGTAGAAGTCCATTCTTGAAAGCTAATCAGTTGGCAGTGCACGATAATTTTCAATCGTTTGTACATTCAGCTATTAACTGCTGAGAACCCTTTTCTGCTCAGCTTCAACACCCATGCACAGAGCCTAAAGAAGCATGTACTGGACAGGTGTTCATTTGCAGATTATGCATATTCAACACACAACAACTGTGTTCAATGGAGAACAACCAAGGAAATGTGTGCTTGTAAGAAACACAAATCCATGCATTTGTTCCCTGTAAGCTTTATACAGGCAGGTCACTGATTATAGAGTACAGTAGTCTTACGGCAACAATTGAACCCAAAATTTATGCTACGAAGTGAAACATTTGTTAAGTGAGCTTTGCCCCATTTTATGACTTCTTGCCACTGTTGTTAAGTGAATCATTGCAATTGTTAAGTTAGTAACATGGTTGTTACGGGAATCTGACTTCCCCATTCTGATTTTGCTTGTCAGAAGGTCACAAAAGCCGATCACATGACCCCCGGGACAATTGCAACCATCATAAATATGAATCAAGACAAGCATCCGAATTTGGATCACGTGACCTTGGGAATGCTGCAATGGTCATTTGAAAAACAAGATTGAATAGCCATTTGTCTGAAATTGTATGGGGTTTCCTGCCTGAGCTGGACTAGAAGACCTCCAAGGTCCCTGCCAAGTCTATTATTCTGTTCTGTTCTGTTCAGCTAACTAAATGCCTGTGTGATGGTCTTTTCGGTAGATGTTTTCACAAATGGACGGCTAAAACGCTAAACTAAAGTAAACGGATGCAGAAAAGTCTGCTTTGCCACAGCGTATGTGCTGAATGTACACCCAGCAGGGACAAAGAAATGAGAAGGAGGAGAAATTCAACAAGCTCTGAGCAACTATGGAAGCTCCATTCCCAAGCCAATTTTTTGGAATTTTCCCTAGTTCAAACACTGTAGGAGCAGAATGCAAGGCAGGCTCGACCCGTCGATAAATAATAATAATAAAAAAGCAGCAGAAAAAAAAACATCCAGCTCATATGGATGTTAGTGTTTGGATGCTGGTTCTATTTTATTTTTTTTAATCAGACGTTTTTGATCTATCCCCCTGCACATAAGCTTACTCTACCTCCCCCTCAAGTTAGTAACAGATATCAAGTGCAAGAATGTTTTTAATTGAAAACCATAAATTTGGCCTACTAAATCTACTAACGATTCATTTTAATTAGGGACCCAGCTGCTTCCTGAGATTTTGCAGCTTGGGTGTTAGAACTTTAAGGCGACTTAAATGAGTCTCCAGCGAGCCGCTCTGGAGCTTTTCAGAAAAATCAGCATTTTCTCCAATTGGTTATGGAAGACTTTTCCAAATGGAATTGATTGACAGTCCCCTTGTCTCTTTCCAAACAGGCGCCTCTACAAAGCGTGGGCAAGAATTCACCTTCAGCCCTTTGGATGCTGGAAAACTGACCGAGCTTTGAGGAGAATTCAGAGGCTTTGATCAATGTGCCAAGCCAGGTTTGGCTTTCATGATTCTTTCCTTCGATTTTTGACATGCAGGATGAGAAAATGAAAGAAATGCGGTGGATACACAGGACTTAACCTCTCCTCCCTCTAGTGGTTCGTTAGAGGAACAGCAAGCTTTAGCATGTTCTTGCAGATAAAAACAACCCATCATGCCGTACTTGAAAAGCACAGAAGGAAACTGTTCAGTTCCCAAATGATCCTTGGATTGTGTACAACAACATTTGGAAGCAGGCTTTGGCCGAATCTTGGGATACAATTATGTCTTTTGGTCTATTTCTGTAACTGCTTCTCTCTCTCTCTGTGTCTGTCTCTCCCTCCCTCCCTCCCTCTTCCCCTCTCCCCCTCTCCCTCCCTCTCTCCCTCTCCCTCCCTCTCTCCCTCTCCTTCCCTCTCCCCCTCTCTCTGTCTGTCTGTCTCCCTCTCCATCTTCCTCTCTCTCTCCCTCTCCCTCCCTCCTTCTCTCTCTCCCTCTCTCTCTGTCTGTCTTTCTCCCTCTCTGTCTCCCTCTCTCTCTCCCTCCCTCTCTCAGTGATGGCTCAGTGGTTAAAGAGGCTGAGATTGTCAGCTAGAAAGCTGACAGCTCAGGTTTGAGACCCAAGCATCATACAATGGGGTGAGCTCCCGTTGCAGCCTCAGCTCTTGTTCTATGTATCAGTTTGAAAGCATGCAAATGCAAGTAGATAAATAGGTACTATTTTGGTGGGAAGGTAACAGTATTCTGTGGTATACATCGGTGTATAGCCATGCTGGCTACATTACTAAGGAAATTGTCTTTAGACAATCATGGCTCCCTCAGCCAAGAAACAAACAAATGATGGCTCCCTTGGCCAACAAACAACTCCCTAGAATTGGACACGACTGGACAGAGGAAACCTTTACATTTATCATTATGCAAAATCTCACCATCACAAATGAAGGCGGATGTACGAGTCCCAGGATAATGTTGCAGAATCCAATCTGGGTTGGTTATTGAGACTAGAAGTTCTGTGTTCCAAGCTTTAGACTCATGCTGAAGCCCATCCTCAGGGAACTTCTCTCCTTTGGTCCCGGTGACCAATCAAGATTGGATCCCTTAATCACCTACGTGTGCCCAATATCATGATATGGGAACACAAGAGGCAGAACCTGAGTTGTGATGGTGCAGTGTTTGTTTCATCTCTCTCCATTCTCCCCTGCTTCCTCTTGCCCTGCTTTCTAGGCAACCTTTCCCCTTACTCAAGGATGCCTGCCCTGTTGTCAAACACCTCTGGAAAAAAGACTGTAGTTCCACAATTAATTCTCTTGCTGTTATTTTTCCTGCCCAATTCAATGAAACACAATTTAGGCATTTCTTCAGAGGAAAGAGACATTCTGAGTGGCTGGAGTACGAGGGATGAGCCGGCCACGGGTTGTACATGAGAGACAATGTCGTGTTTCCGTTATGCATCTGGTTTTTGCAGAGTCTCTGGATTTTTAACATTTCCAGGGAGAAGGAAGATGATTGAGGGAGTTAGGTATGTTTTAAGCTAAGCCATATGATGAACAGTTGGAAGAACTAGGTACGTCTAGCTTAATGAAGAGTAGAATCCAGAGTGACATGATAGCTGTCTTCCAGGACTTGTCACAGAGAAGAAGGGGGTCAACCTATTCTCCAAAGCACCAGAGGGCAAGAGAAGAAGTAGTGAGTGGAAGATCATTAAAGAGAGACCCAACCTAGAACCAAGGAGAAATTTCCCAACAGTGAGAACAATTAACCAGTGGAACAGCTTGCCTCCAGAAGTTGTGGGTGCTCCATCACTGGAGGTTTTGAAGAAGAGGTTGAACAGCCAGACTTAATTCCCTCAATCATTCATTGTATGTTTTAGCCTCCAGACCTCTAATCATCATTGTTACTCTGCATACTCATCCTTGGCAAAAATTGGCAGCAGGTAAGGTCCCAACTCAATGGACTGCCAGAAGATGGCTCTATTGCAATGCTGAAAACATCTTCGCTTTTCCCAAGGGCTTTTTACAGGGCATGAAATGAGGCAAGGTCAGCCCACCTCTGACAAAGAGACAGATGGAAGAATGTTCTCCCCCTCCCCCCCTCCCCCCCCCAACCACCAGGAGTAGGAATAGACAGACAGAACTTTATTTCGATCATTGACCAATAACAATACAATTAATAAAGCGAACAAGTCTGTAAGTCATGAGTAGGAATACACATCCTTTCCCTTTTTCAACTTATTTGGTTTGTTGGTGCCGGAGGAGGACTTGTCCTTGGTGAAACAGGCTCAGGAATTGCAGGTGACAATTGACTTCTCTTGCTTGGAATTCAACCCACCAAGTCCTCTGAAAACAAAACAAAACGAAGCAACGAACCCCAATCATGAGCCTGTCCACAGTAGTTCCTTGTGGAAATAATTATGCCAAAGAGAAATTGGTTTGTTTCTTCTTTTGGCAGATGCAGGGAAAGGGCTGTTTTTTTGGCAGACGAAGGCAGAGCCCTGATTTTGAGCAGCCGCTGACAATTCCTGGCATATGGCAGGAGAGGAGACTTCTGCCTTTCCCATCAGGTAGGGCCTGTCTTCTTGACTGTAGCAATGATCGATGCCCTGGCTAGGAAGGGTAGACTTCTGGGAAGGGAGCCAGCAAACCAGACAATGCAAGTAAACAGGGTCAGTCTGGACAAGGACTCTGGGTGAGACAGGCAGATGATCTCCGGTGTACTAACAGGAAAAGTGCTTACTTAATAGATCATCAAAACACCAGTCCATTTGTGTTGCTGGCTGCAAAAGCCACCTTGAAAATTTGGCTCAGTTTGTCGAGGGCTTTAGAAGCTGAGGCAAGAGCCTTTCCCGGTTCCTCAACTTCAAATTTGAATCTGTTCTTTAGCCAGTTGGCAGGTGGGAAACATAGGGACGCGTTAACTCTTTACATGCAGTTGCAGAAGAGAAAGAGAGCTAGGTTTAGCCAGAGATAGAAGCTTTAAAAGAGCCCAGCCCATCTTAGTCCAGCTGTCCGACCTGTCTCAACTTGAAGCTTTAAGCAAGAACGATCCTTCACTCCGTTTGTTGAGAAAGATGGCAAGAAAAGTTCCAGAATGGGGTAATCTATACGTAAGGGTGTAGGTCTATACATCTGTTGTGCATAGTATGTTTAAATGTGTGTTATGTGTGTGTACACTTTGAGAGTAAGCAGCTAAATTTCATTTTTGATGTGTGCCGTTGTGCCCACAGTAAAAAATGACAATAAAGGTTATCTAATCCAGGGGTCTTCAAACTTGGCCCTTTGATGACTTGTGGACTTCAACTCCCAGAATTCCTCAGCCAGGCACGGATGCCTGGCTGAGGAATTCTGGGAGTTGAAGTCCACAAGTCATCAAAGGGCCAAGTTTGAAGACCCCTGATCTAATCAAATAAATGTTAGGGTACAATTATAGTCATAACTCGAGGATTATCTGTACCAGTGATTGTTTAGCACTTTTCTTCTGGAAAGACAGCAATCAGAAAACACACCTACCTTCCTTCTACCTCCCCATTTCTAGGTACCAGACTGAGAATGGGTGTCTTGAAGCCAATGCAGACCTCCAAGAAGGAAAAAAACAAAACGCCTTTTTTCCTACTCATGTTGGGCCAGCATCTGTTTTGAGTTTCTTGAAACTTCTCTTCCCTTGTGAAGAGGCATTTATTTCTGAAGGTGCTTGAGAATTTAGTTGAAATGTCTCTTGATTTCAGGCTTGTTTTACTGTTTGAAGTGGCAAAATGTGGCACAGCTGTTGCTTAGGGAGACATTCCCCCCCCCAGGTCTATAGCCTCCTGAAAAAGTCCCCAGGGAGATTTCCTACAACGTCTGCTCCGGGGATTTAATGGGAGCGTGGGAAGTCAGGCCGGTTAAAGATGGCAGGCGAGATGATTGTATAATGAAAGAACAGGCCATTTGAGTAAACCCTTCATGTAGCCCAGTCCCAATTTTAGAAGGAAAAAAAAATCTGTTTCTTCCTAACAAATCACAAGTAGGGGAAAGAAAGAAAGAAAGAAAGAAAGAAAGAAAGAAAGAAAGAAAGAAAGAAAGAAAGAAAGAAAGAAAGAGATGGAGGGAGGGAGGGGAGTTGAAGATGAAGACAAGGAGAAGGAGGTGAAGCAGAAGAAAGAAAGAAAGGAAGGAAGAAAGAAAAAGAGGAAAGAAGAAAGAAGAAAGAAAGAAAGAAAGAAAGAAAGAAAGAAAGAAAGAAAGAAAGAAAGAAAGAAAAGAAAAGAAAAAGAAAGAAAGGACAGAAGGAAGGGAGGGGAGTTGAGGATGACAAGGAGGAGGTGAAGCAGAAGAAAGAAAGAAAGAAAAAAAGGAAGGAAGGAAGGAAGGAAGGATTGCAACTTCAAACCAATGCAACTCATCCTGGCACGCATACATAGAATCTTCCTGCTTTCCTGGCCCAAACAGAACATTGCTTGCTCAATTTGCTCCTTCAGATTCTTCCCTAAGAAAGGCCATCCAATATCAACCCAAGCTCACTTTACCCTCCCTCTCTCCCCTGCCTGGATAAAAGCTGAACCAGCTCAGATCTTCCACCTCAGGAACTGTTGCGGCAAACACCAGTCTGGTGCTTGGAAGCTAACAAATTTGCTGTGTCACAACTGATAATCAATTCAAGTAAAAGAATGTCCAAATCAATTGAGCTTTAGCGAGGGCAAACTGACTGGACACCGTTAGGCCCCTAGCAAAAAAAGTAGGCCAAGCTTGATAAATTTGCCCTTATTATGGCTATTGATGTTTAAATTTCTTCAGGGACCCAGCTACATGGGTGCCTGGTGGTGACAGAGGTACAATGACCTCCTTCGATTCTTAATCTACACCTGTTAGTCAGCTCCCCAGTTACTTGTGAGTGTACTCCCGCTTAAAGGTTAACAAAAAAGAAAAACAGGCCACATTTATGTGGCACAGCTACAGATCAATGCAGAGTAAATAACCTTCTCCATCTTATTTCCCCCAAGCATTATTGATCCTAGTTCTTTGTTCTTTGTCATGTTTCTGTCTTCTAATCCTGGGAGACAATAAACAATCGCCTCATATTGGACATGTTAACTGGTGCGTTATGACAGCTACCATTTTGTCACTCAATGTAGCACTTGCTCTATGAAAAAAAAAATCTTACTTCAGGTCTTTGTGAGATATTGGCTCTCTAGACTGAATCCCAGAGCTCAGAATGATGGGGATGGTTTCTTTCAATTAATTTCTTTTCAATAAAGAAATAAAAATAAAATGTGGATTTTTTTAAAAAGAAAAAACAAGGGTCCTTTTTTTTTTTTTTTTCAAATAACGAACAAAGATACCACCATAAGAGTTTAAGGGGTAAAAGAGCATGAGATGAAATAGGAATGGCAGTAAAATAATAAAAGTGGGAAATTTTAACGAAGCAAAAATTTTAGTAAGATGAAACGTTTGTCTCTACTTCCCAAAAGGCCAAGAGAAAGGCCACAACTAAGGTTTGCATGGGATCAGATCCCATACTTTGATAAGCACCTATCAATAAATTGTTATTGAGGGCTAGATTTTACTACTCTGTACTCCCAGGTATTTTATGGGAATTATTCACCTGCTGTCCAACATCCAATGTCACCCATTTTAATGGTCATGCCAACTTCATGCAGAAACAGAGGACCACTCGCTTTGCTGCAAGAAGATTGTGCAGATGACAACAAACAGCTTCATAGTGCAGTTCATAGTGACTTCGTAGAGTTATGCTTAAACTTCCTTGAGAAAGAAGCAACCACAGTACATTGGAAGATCTGCATGAAATATCATTTGCCTGCAAGGAAGAACTGGTGGGTCCACAAAATCAACCAAGTGATAGAAAATGAAGAAGCTAAAGTCCTCTGGACCCTTAGAATTCAAACAGACACGCACCTGCTATATACAGCAAAGATAATGTCAGTAGTAATAGGTGCCTTGGGTGCAATCCCCAAACATCTGGATTATGACTAGAACACCATTGGCATTGACAAAGTCACCATCGGTCAATTGCAAAAGGCAGCTTTACTTTGAATAGCTTACCTCTTGTGATGATACCTTTAACACCATTAAACAACAACATCTGCCTATCCCAGTTCCTTGGGAAGGACTTGCTAGGTTGGACAAAAATGCCAAATCCAGTCTAAACATCTGGCTGTCAGTGTGACTAACCACAATATTAATAATAATAATATCCTGAGACCCAACTATTAGGGACCATTGCACATAGTTGCAAACAAAGACTTGAATGGAGTTCCAGAATTCAAGGGTAATCACAGTCCTAAAACAAGAACAAATGTGCCTGGACACCATAAAAACATAAGAAGTTTATTCCTGTTAACAGCAGCACACAAATGGAAAGGACAAATAAATAAATAACTGTACGCATTTATCCTTGGAATGATAACAAATAGCAATGACATTAATAACTTGTACAGAGTTTTATACAGTTTCAAATTATTTTTTTAAAAAAAATAATACAGTGAACTCAGTTTTACACAACTAATTAATTAAGAAGTGCTGATCCTCAAATTTCATGCTAATTGTAAAGTTTATTGACTGGTATTGTATTCTTTTGTCCATTAATTTCTTTTTTTATTTTTGTAGTTATTAATTCTATGCTGTTGTTTTGCAAATGTTTTAATACATACATTTAGAGCACTAGGAAAAAAGTGGACGGAGGGTATTAAAAATAATATAGAGTGGTGAAGAAGGATGTGCAAGTATGGATGAAACCAGCCTATCTAGGCAAAGCCACTCCATAAATCAGCCCCAAAGCAGGCAATGACAAGCGATATGTTACAAAAAACAAAAAAACAAAAAAACCCGACCCTATATGGACAGGTGTGAATCATTTAGGTTAGCCTGAATACCAGATGAGACCTCCTAGTCTGAAGGGATCCCTCCAGTTTCTGGGAAACAATGTATAATTATCATGAATAGATCTGAAGGTGATGACATGGATTGGGCCAAAGCAATAATGCAAGGGCTTTGTGAAAATATTTCTTTGTGGGTGGCGATGTGTCAAGCACATAAATACAGACTCTATGGACAGATGTGGCTGGATGAATAACATCAAAATAATAAAATTGGATGCTTAATAAGAAACAGAGGTTGGGAAAAAAGTGCAATCCTGTCCAACAGGACATTTCTAGGTAAAGATTGTAAAGTAGATCCTGAATGATTGGTGTCGAAGATGAAGGTTAAACTTAAATAGATAATTAAATTAGGTGTGCTATCAAGATATTTAATCAGAATAGCAAATCCTTGCAAGAAACACATCCAGTATGCTTAACTTCATGTAAATGGAGCTAGGAGAAGAGATAAGTGATCCCGTGAAAAACAAAGCAGGAAAAAAGTTCCCAGCATCTCAAAGGAGGGGGAAAAAAAGGATCCATGCTTTCTCAATAAACTAGAGATAGTTGGAGAATGCTTGACAGACTTTCAGCATCAAGCAGAAAAAGAGACCAAAAGTTCTCAATTAAGAACATCAATACACAGAGGAAAAACGCAAGAAAAGGGAGATGTGAGGTGTTTTGAATGTGATCAGAGAAAACAGGAAAAATTACACTGGAATACAAATATTCAAGACGGACGGGATCAAAGGTGGAAAAGCCATAAAATGGGGCAAAAGTCACTCAACAACTATCTAACTTAGCAACTGAAGTTTTGGGCTCCATTGTGGTTCATACTTTGAGGACCACCTGTACTTTAATTCTGGGAGCCCTGGGAGCGCTGACTAGATTCTTCTTCTTCAACATTTAAGGAAGTATAGATTTTTCACCCCAAAATTCTCCAGCTAAAAATTTACTTAAAAGAGACCTGGAAAGTTTTTAAGAATATAAGAAACAGTTGGAGGTGTCAATCATTGATTCCATCTACCTCCCTATAGAAAGGAACAAAGGGGAAAGACTAGATTTTTTATGAAAAACGAATAAACAAATTCTCATTCCCCACTAATTTAATATTACTTATATTTCTGCATGGTGAGCTGTTGGGAATTAAAGTCCTGTTCATTGGATTCAGGGAGTGTGATCCTTGGCAAACATCTTGAAGATGAAAAGATGGATTTTCATGAAGCCAATGACACCTCCCATTACAGATAAGGCCTCCCTTTCAAATGAATGTAAGAGGGAGCCTCTGAACGAGGCACGTAAAATCCTAAGTGGAGCGGGAAAAAAGAGTGAAGTGAGAAGCAAAGAAGCAGCTGAAGGACAAAGACATAAAAATCAGCAATGCCACCTTTGCATTACAAGGCAATAGACTTCTATTGATTTTTCTGGGCTTACCGTCCCTTGTTTTAGTGACTAATGATTCCTTCTTGGGTTATGATGACTTTGCATTTCATGTTTCTCCAGAGGGGAAATGCTGCTCTTTGTAGTTCAGTTTTGGGAATGAATAACAGAATTGGAAGGACCTTGGAGGGATACCTCTTCAACCCTAACTCTAACCCCCTGCTCAAGCAAGCCACCTGTCCTGTATGGTTGAACCTCTGGCATAGCTCTCCTCTTCCTCAGAGCACAGAAGCCCCATGATCAAATCAAGCTAGTGGTGGTTGTTATTATTCCTGCTTTCTTGTCCTGTACAGTATATATTTCCTAGCTAAATACGTATCCCTGTCTGTGTGCAAGTGGAGACAGTATTTCCGCTGGGGTTGCTGGTATAATGAAGTAGTCAGGCACGCGCATGTTTGCAAGCGTACAAGTTAATGGGATTATCAAAAAGAAATGTGGAAGTCATCTTTAACAAATGGATAGTGATGATTTGAGAAACATGACTTAGCTCTGCTGTCACAAGGACTGAATTATTGAGTGCAAAGGCTAACGGGCCAACATTCAGAATAAGAGGTATCTTTGTTGGTAGAGGTCCTGCTTTTCCTCCAATAGAAGATCTCTGAAGGGGGAGTTGATGGAGATTCTCAGTCATCCAAAGTCATGGCTGTCCCAAAGGTGCTTTTTCAAAAGGCAACTGGACTTTGTTCCTTGAAGACATTTCGCTTCTCTTCCAAGAACTGAAGAAGCTTCTAGGACAGTGTTTCTCAACCTTGACAATTTTAAGGCATGTGGACTTCAACTCCCAGAATTCCACAGCCAGCAATGCTGGCTGTGGAATTCTGGGAGTTGAAGTCCACATGCCTTAAAATTGTCAAGGTTGAGAAACACTGTTCTAGGATGAGAAGCGAAACGTCTTCAAGGAAAAACGAAGTCCAGTTGCCTTTTGAAAAACACCTTTGGGTCTGGAGGGGGAAAGAAAATACAGAAGGGGTGGAGACAGGGAGTTAAGAAGGAGAAACTGGGTGGGGAGAGAAAATAGGAGAACTCATTCTCACGAGCAAGTGGGGGATCTTATGTGCCAGTTCTGACAACACTAGTGGGTTCTCAGTGGTATCTTGACCCCAAACCACTCCATCTTTCTCACTAAGGCTAAGGGGAGGAATGTGTGAATGACCTTGGGAGACAGGAAAGTGCACAGCCATGTGAACAGTTGGACAAGAGGCACCTTAGTCTGACAAAGTAATGTAAAGTAAGTAAAAAAAAAAAAAAAAGGTACCACTACGATCTCAGAAGAGAGCTTCCTAGCTTCTGGAGCTGTAAAATTGACCAAGAGAAATGTACTATCAAATGTGCAGGTTTCTGTTAATATAACCTTAATCCATGTGGCTGTGCTTCCTGTCTGGACTACCTCACAAGGTTGAGATCAATCTTTGCAAGTTTGAAAGTCCCACATACCATTACAGAATGTGCTGCAGGGACAGAACGAACCCTAATGAGATACTTGGGAATTTTGTTGAGGATTCTGAGTTCCACTGAGCTAAAATCCCAAACCTGCAATCTGCTCTTGAGGAGAAGGTCAGCTATGATGATCCTTACCCAACCGATGGCAGTTTTCCTTCCTTTCTTCTGCTTTCCTTTCTCCTTCTCCCTCCCCCCCCAATTAATTAATAGTTGATTGGAGAAAGAGAAAGAGAGAGAGAAACTCAGTGCTCTTTAGTACAGTGCATTAGCTGCTGCTGCTGCATAAATCTAAATTTGGTGAGGTGCCACGAAGTCTGGACCCAGAGCAGATGGCTTCTTAGTCCTGAAGAAGCAGAGACATGGGGTAGCAACTGAGGACATGAGTAAGTGAGAGATGGTAGGAAACGGTGACAGCCAACACCTGCCCATGTCAAACTTTTTAAGCATTCTCTGCATTGCTGATTGAACAGTGTTATTTTAGCTCTGGGAGAGGGAGTTAAGCAAGTGGACGTGCACTCACTCCTCTCTCTTTGTGGCTAAGAGGTTGGGCAGAATTGCAAGCAGCCCTACTCTTACTGTAAAGTGGCCTACAAGTAGTCCTCGACTTTCATTTCGTGACCGTTCGAAGTTACAACGGCACTGAAAAAGGCGACCTATGACCGTTTTTCATACTTACACCCATTGCAGCGTTGATCATGTGATCAAAATCTGAACGCCTGGCAACTGGCTCCTATTTATGAGGGTGGCAGCGTCCCTGGGTCATGTGATCGCCTTTTGCGACCTTCTGACTAGCAAAGTCAATGGGCGAAGCTGGGTTCACTTAGCAACATGTTACTAAATGAACAACTGCAGTGATTCACTTAACAACAATAAAATGGGGTGAAACTCACTGACCAATTGTCTCATTTAAGAACATATATTTTGGGTTCAATTGTGATGATAAGTTAAGGACTGCCTGTACTTAGACATCCCTGGGACAGTGATATGTTGTCTTTGGGAAGAACACTATTATATAAGGGGGAAAAAACCCAATGGAAAGAAAAGTATGATGTTACTATATTATTATATTATTTTGAATATAATGGAGCATCCACAAGATTTTTTTTTAAAAAAAAAAACAATGTAACAAGGGATTACTCAGATCCCCATTCTCATTGTCTTTCTAGATTACAAGCTTACGGAAAACTAGCTTAAGGTCAAAGACATCATTGTCCCCAGTATGCAGATCACTGTTTCTTCAGTCTGTTTCTGTCTGTCACATATTGTTCCATTGCATCCAATTTCTAAGCAAATTATTAATAGTAATGTTTGGGAAATCCACAGTGGCTGACAAATGAGAATGAGGTGTGTCTTTTTGCAAAATAATCCTTTTTTCTTTTCCAACATTCTATATGTGCCTCTTTAATGAAATTTAAAACAAGCCCTTTCAATGCATTTTGCTAGGAGACAGCATTTAGCTAACCTTGGTGGATGCTAAGAAATAGTTACGCAAAGTTAGACCTTTCTAGTATTGGAATGGGATACCACCAGGAAATCTCAGATTTAGGCAGCAAAATCAAATCCTCCTCCTCCTCCTCCTCCTCCTCCTCCTCCTCCTCCTCCTCCTCCTCCTCCTCCTCCTCCTCCTTCTTCTTCTTCTTCTTCTTCTTCTTCTTCTTCTTCTTCTTCTTCTTCTTCTTCTAGACTTCCCTTTCCTTAATATAGGCTATTTTTAATGTACTTTCCCCAATATATAATGAATATTCCTTGCTAGATTTGATAAACCAAAGGCTTAGTTTATAGTTTCATCCATGCCTTGCTAATGTATCAACTTTTATCAGTTCTACTCAGTAGACGAGACCAGGAAATCAATTCCACAGGAAGGCTACAAGTACTTTTATTGAGATTGGCTATAATACCAGTCTCTTGCAAGTCTGGCTGTGTTGCATCTCCTCCCGCCTCTTATACACCAGTGAATCAGGCAGGCATCTGCCTCAGCCACTTCTGAAAGTAATCACCTTGTTCAAAAATGTTTCAGCCCCTTTTGTTGCAATAAACTTTCTTGCATATTTCTATCAAGGTCATCTTCATTACTCTGTACAACTTTAGTGGATGGTGGGATACCTCCTCAACTATGAGAGTCATCCGTAAAGTAAAGCCACTTTCGTGTAGTTGTTAAGGTGCTGGCTCAGAAAGCAGGAATCTGTGAATTCTAGTCGTAGTTCTAGGTGTGAATACTGGTTGGGTGAGTTTGGGCTGATCACTCTGTTGCTCAGCCCAACTCACCTCACAGGCTTGTTGTGTGGGAAATAGGAGGAGGAAGGACCATTAGCGATGTTCACCTCCAAAAATCTGCGCCCCAAAACCCTGTCTGCATTTCTCTGTGCTGTGCTTCAGTCTTCATGAAAAGCAGCTCTCCTTGATGAGACATGACTATTTGCATGATGCCTGCCTAGATCAGCATGAAAGTCCTGTCAGTATTGTTACACTGAATAGAATTATAATAGAATTATTAGGTGTTTGTTGTTGACATTGTTTTTTTCAGTGATAATACTTTTTTAGGTTTGGGGTCATTGAAGCAAACTTTTTGAAGCACAAATGCACCTGACCAAGTATTTTGCTGTTGGCAAATTGCTTTCCCAGTGAGATGCACAACCCGCCTCTACTTCATTGTTGTTCATATTCATACACACACACACACACACACACACACACACACACACACACACCCCTTGTGTGTGTGTGTGTGTGTTTGTTATTACTTTAGTGCTTTGCGTAAACTTTACATGCCCACATACACACATGCACACATGAAGCCTGAATGCAATCAATGAACATATGTGCTACGGTGGCTGTCTGGAGGTGGTCAGCGGTGTTTGTGTCATGCAAATGCTTCTATGGGAACAACCTGGCAGCTGTTTTTTTCCAAGCTGACACGTTATCTGGAAGAAGAGGCCAAAAGAAGTTCTTGGCTTTTATTCGGATGTGGCTTGGGGTTGAGTCTGCCTTTTCTCTCACTCGGTGAGTTGCCATTAGCACCGCTGACAGTTACTAGATAAAGTTAAAGACTCATGCAGTGATCTGCACCCTAATTGGACTGTAATGTATAGCCTCAGTCAGGCAAATCTCTCCATAGACGGCAATCAAGCCATTTAGGGAAGATGCATCGGCTGCCAGCACCCTGGAGTAACCTTAAGCTACGCTGGCCTTTTAGCAGCAAACACAATTAATTTTGATACTGAAGGGCAATTAGGACTGGGGTTAAAATGGAAAGAGGCTGTGGGGGGGGGCACAGAAATATTCCAAACAGAGAATGCCAAAGATTGCAGAAGGGAAAACGGTTTTCCTGGAATTCTGTCCCCCTCTGCAAATGCCTGGTGCCTCGTTTCCTGCAGCATCTGAAGCATTGCTAAAGGTGAGTTCTCCACACGACACAAACTGCCTGATTAGCAGAAAGATTGCACAAAACTTTCTCTCCCTGGTGTTGTAGAGAGAGTATTTTAGCACCAAATGAGGTATGATTTTTTTTTAGCTCAGGTATAAAAAGCTAGATTTGGTACATGAGAGTTTAGGAAATGTGACTTTCCAACTACATACAGTACCGTAGATTCACTGCAGAGAGTCCTTTACTTATAGTCACAAGTGAGCCCAACATCTCTTAGTTGCTTAGTTATATGTTCTAATGATGTCTGTCATCCTATGCACTTCTTCAATTTTCAGCAACCAGAGGTCCCTTGCTGTGTTGAACTATGTTAGCTACCAGCTGCCAAACTGGTGCAAACTGGATGAATCCCACCACTGAGCTGTTGGCTTGCAACCTACACCTTCCCCATACCTGCTAAAGTTGTCTTCCCATAGGTGGTGGAATTCAATTTCTATAATTTTCAATCCCAGCTTGGCTAATGTTGAATGATGCTGGGAATTGTCATTATACACTATTCAGAAGTTTTACATTGGAGTTTATTTCATTGTACACTTTAATTCTTTTTTTTTTTAAAAAACACCTTATTTCTTGTCTGTCTCTGAAAAGCAAGCTAAAAACACTGTTGCACAAAGAATGTTATTTTTCAAGAGAGCTGCCCCCAGTAAGGCTAGTACATTGAAATTAATGAGCTATTATAAATGTACCTTTCAAACTTCAAAATATCTAAATACAGAAATGCCCAAAGATCTCAGGAAGATGTTTACTTAAGCAAGATTTGAGCAGCTTGACACAATAGTTAAATGTGGTTTAATTAAATTCCTTACCATAAATGTACTTGTATTGTGAACTCAGTACATATATTATTTTAATGTCAACTGTATAAGAAGAAGAGACATCAATATCTTGCACTGTGCATGAGAGGAATGGTCTATTGGGATCCCTATCATTAAAATAACATATTTTATGTGTGGTCAGAACCCAAATAATATATATAACATGCCTCATTTATCCGAATAAATTTTACAGTTGAGAACAACATATGTGGATGTGATTGGGATAAATTGTGGAAATGTCACAGAAATGTGATCTTCATTTTCTTTTAGTTCTGCTTTTTACTCCATTTTCTAGCACATGCTCACATTACGCTTCTGGGTTTTACATTCTGATATGACCTGGCTGATCAGTAAAGTAGTATGATCAGTCAAACAGTCAGCCAGATGTTTAGACTGGATTTGGCATTTTTGTGTCGCCTGGTCCTTCCCAGGGACCTGGGACAGGCAGATATTGGTGTATATTAATACTAAAGATATCATCACAGGAAGTAAGCTGTTCCAAGTAAAGCTGCCTTTTGCAATTGACCGATGATGATTTTGTCAATGCCAATGATACTCAAGTGGTGCTCGAGATGTTTTGGGATTGTACCCAAAGCACCAAAGATAAGTACTATCTTTGCTTTCTTTTGTCACAGTTGTTCTATTTGCAACTGAACCTTCAAATGACTTTGAGAAACAAAACTACTTGTCAGTTCTTTGTATTTTGTGATTTTCTCTGATTCTTTTTCTCTATTTCTAATGTCTCTAATGACAGTGTCCATTATCCATCCTCTTTTATCTTTATTATTAACAATTGTTAAGTTGGGGGTGTGATGTGACAAGTGTCCCACTGTGTTTAATTTCTTCATTTTCTATTATTTAGTCTATTTTGTGATCCCACCACTTCTTCCTTCGTGGCAAATGGTATTGCTTGCAGATACTCCTATGCACCATTGTTGCTAAATGTCATGCCGTGGTTTGCGTCATATATTGTGTCATATTTTTGCAGCAGCTCTCCAGGTGATGCACTGTTTCTTCAGTTCTTTGCAGGGGGGGGGCATTTTGCTGTCTGCTGCTATCTTCTCAATTCTGCCCCAATGTGATTTTTTTTATCCCCTTAAGGCCTTATCTTGGATATCCAGAATTAAATGACTTTTCTTGCAGCAGTCCTGCAAGATTTAGCCTGGTTGCTCAATCAACAATCAGGTTGTATAGGGTCTTCTGCTCGAGTAGGGGGTGGACTAGAAGACCTCCAAAGTCCCTTCCAGCTTCTATTCTATTCTATTCTATTCTATTCTATTCTTATTCTTATTCTTATTCTTATTCTATTCTTATTCTTATTCTTATTCTATTCTTATTCTTATTCTATTCTATTCTATTCTATTCTATTCTTATTCTTATTCTATTCTTATTCTTATTCTATTCTATTCTATTCTATTCTATTCTTATTCTTATTCTTATTCTTATTCTATTCTTATTCTTATTCTATTCTATTCTATTCTATTCTATTCTATTCTTATTCTTATTCTATTCTATTCTTATTCTATTCTATTCTATTCTATTCTATTCTATTCTATTCTATTCTATTCTATTCTATTCTATTCTTATTCTTATTCTATTCCTATTCTATTCTATTCTATTCTATTCTATTCTATTCTATTCTTATTCTATTCTATTCTATTCTATTCTATTCTATTCTATTCTATTCTATTCTATTCTATTCTATTCCTATCACCATATTGTTTATGGTAAAGGCACTCCTCTGATTCCTGTAATAAGACCTGTCCAGTAGGGTTGAACCTCTAGGATGGTTCTATTTCCCCTCAGAACCTCAGAACCATGTCAAGGTAATGCTTATAATAGAATAACAGAGTTAGGAGGTACCTTGGGGTCTTCTAGTCCCACCCATTGCTGAAGCAGGAGTCTCTATACCATTCTGGATGATGATTGATTGATTGATGATGATGATGATGAAGAAGAAGAAGAAGAAGAATCTCAATAAATGAGACATATCATTGTTCCCAGATTCATCCTCTTGTTAGTAACCCAGAAACTTTGCAAATATGTTCCTGGGAACCATGAAATGTAACATGTGGTTTGTTTCTCAGGGTTATTGGAAGACTCAGTTGCAAAGTATACTTCACAGTTGGCTTTTCTATTGTAAGAATGAGGGACAATGTTATTTTTAAAGCCTTTGGACCATCCCATCCGTGCCATAAATGTAGATCTCAAATGGAATCTCCTGACCTTTTAACATGTGGCCTTCTCCTAATCTCTAGGAAGACTTTTGTCCCTTCTGTGACCGTCAATAAAGAGAAGTTTGGGTATATGCATCACATATTGAGTCAGCTCAGTGATGCCACGTGAGCCTTCTGAATGTGTCAGAATGCTTCATCATCCAAGGCAGAAGGAAGGTGGTGGAACCTTATCCGTTGTGAATATGGATTCTCAGCAGGCTGGGCCTCTAAAGTAACTTCAGCTGTAGCAGCTTCTGCCAAGTGGTCTCAAAGTATCCCTCTAATTCCTGGATGGAGTCCCACCTGCCTCACCCTGCAGCGAGCCAAGTTGGAGACCCTCATCCCAGGGTTGAAGACATACGCCTGGCACCATATCAAATACTTAACCTTTAGCACCTCCCATTTTTGTACAGCCGAGAGAGAACTCCTTGGAAGTGCACCAGAGGAAAAGCAAGTGGACAAAATAGTCCGCTGCCCTTTGGGGCCAACGAAGAGGTAGGGCTGGAATTATCCCAACAGCTTTGCTCCATTTCTGACAATAATGATATATATTTGAAAGGCCCTTAGCATTGACCTGAGATCGCTCAATTTGTTTTGTCAGCTGTTTTGAAAAGTGCTTCCCATTCTGCATTGTAAGTCATTGTTAGGAGGCTCTGCTTTTTTTTTTTTTTTGTTTTATTTCTTCTTTGTTTGGCCATGGTGGCTTGTTTTGTTTGCTTTTTTTTTTTTTTAAGAGAGAAACAAAAACAGAAGAAAGCAGGAAAAAAAATAAGCTTTCTCCCTACAGCTCGGCTCTTTGTGCCTATGGGTTTTATTTTTATTTCTTTGAGCATTCACCTCTCACCCTTCTTCGGCAGACTGCCGTAACCTCCCGAGTCAAAGCAGTAACTTTCTGGCTCTTCATTTCCTCATCCGGTGTCCAAAGTCACAGGACGTGGGTTGTGACTTTCTGTACAGATAATCTGACACACGACAAGTAGGAACGGAAAGCTGTGATTCATTTCAACAAAAGCTTGGAGCGTCGGCTTGGCTGCAAGCCGGAAAGAGACACATAGGAAATGGCTGTTGTGTCGCCAATGGGCTAAAGAGGGACAGTTTTGGCACTGGGGAGAGTGTGAAAATGTTAGGTCATCTCTAATAAGGAGGAGGAGGAGGAAACTTTCTGTCACACACACACACACACACACACACACACACACACACACAGAGAGAGAGAGAGAGAGAGAGAGAGAGAGAGACTATCAGATAAAGGACAAAGCCATTTATCTGAGCAACTAACAATGAAAGGGAATTAAAAATATCTTTCTTTAACATAGATATCAAGAGTTGCACAAGAATTAAATATTTTCATAAGGGAGCAATATAAAATATGTGCCCTGATGAATTTTCTTTTTATCTTTCTCAAGGCCAGAGAAATTCCTTTGCTCTTGTTTGGCTTTTTTTTTCCTCCAAGGCGAATCTGAATTTTGAATCAAATAGCCATACCCACAGTAGATTTGCTGATCCATTTAAGAAGAGAAAGGCATGGTCCTTAATTTTTGAAAATGCCTCATGGGGCTAGGAATCTTGACTCACCCCCTGCCCTTTTAATTGCAATATTGGTTAGGGATTAGCTGGGATTTGTGCTGTCTGACACTAGTTAGTTCTCTTCTCACAGAGGGGGAAAGGAAGTGTTGCTATCATGGTCAGAACCCTTTCTCTGGACACCATAGAGCAGAAGATGTGTAATCTGTAGCCCTTCAGGTTTTTCAGAGCTGAAGTTTCGTCATTGACCATCCTGGATATATCTCTAGGAGTTCAGTATCATTTAGAATAGAATAGAATAGAATAGAATAGAATAGAATAGAATAGAATAGAATAGAATAGAATAGAATAGAGCTGGAAGGGACCTTGGAAGTCTTCTAGTCCAGCCCCCTACTCAAGCAGGAGAACCTATACCATCTCAGACAGGTGAATGTCCAGTCTCTTCTTAAAAACCTTCAGTGATGGAGTGCCCACAATTTCTGGAGGCAAACTGTTCCACTGGTTGATTGTCCTCACTGTCAGGAAGCTTCTCCTTAATTCCAGGTTGTTTCTCTCTTTGATCAGTTTCCAACCATTGTTTCTTGTCCTTCCCTCTGGTGCTCTGGTGAACAACCTGACCCCCTCTTCTTTGTGGCAGCCCCTCAAATACTGGAACACTGCTATCATGTCTCCCCTATTTCTTCTTTTTTTTAACTAGCCAAACCCAAGTCCCACAGCCGTTCTTTGTATGTTTTAGTCTCCAGGCCTTTAATCATCTTAGTTGCTCTTCTCTGAATTTTTTCCAAACTCTCAACATCTTTTTTGTGATATGGTGACCAAAATTGCCTGCAGTATTCTAGGTGCGGTCTTACTAGGGCTTTGTAAAGTGGTACTAATACTTTGTGTAAGTAGTTCTTTCGTTCTTAGTGGTTGGTAGATTGGATCGATGTCAATGTCTCCCTTTCAGCTCTAGGATTCTGTGATTCTAAGAAAGATGATAACGGGAACTCCTAGTGGAGCAAAGCTAAGAAGAAACTGTTTAAGGAATAAAAGAGATCAAAGGAGGAGTTAGAGAAGGAAAATAAATGATTGGACAAATGTCTATGGAAGCTCTCAATCATCCAAGACAGGGCTGTCCCACAGGTGATTTTTCCCCCCAAAAGACAACTGGACTTTCTGCTTCTTTTTTCTTTGAAAACATTCTGAAGAAGCTTCTTGGATGAGAAGTGAAACGTTTTCAAAGGAAAAAAGAAAACCAAGAAAGTCCAATTGCTTTTTGGAAGAAAACACCTTTGGGACAAATAATTGGACAGGGAACTGAGGTAATAACCAGTGAAATTTCAAGGGTATTTTTCTTGGTTTCTGATATTCTATTTAGAACTTGAATGTCTCCTTCATTCCAATTAAAACTGTCCACCTTCCTTTTTCCTTCCCACCGCTTTCATTTTAAATGTTGGCCTCCAATTGTATCTGGCCAGATGCAACATATTTTATTTCCTTTACGCTGCACTCTGTCGCCTCCATCTCCTGATTCTCTTCCCACCTTGGTTCCCATGTGACGGCTGCATTCCTTATTTATTAGTTTATCTATCAAAACAAAAACCTTGATAATTTTCCCCAAATGAGAACTGGCATCCAGTCAGAGTCAGGGAGATGAAAGGAAGGTTTAAGTCTACTTTCAATATTATAAAAAGGTTCCAAAATAGATATCAGGGTTAAAAAGTCCAGATGGTAATTTAACTGCATCCTTGCTATAAAACTGATTTGATTTATGGGAGTCCATAATGGTATCTCAGTTTAGATCTAAGCAGCTTGGTTTTCTCTCATCTGTAGCTTTTGAACGGCATTGGGTTTTTTCCCCTCCTACCATCAATCCTTCACTACAAAGAGATACCATTATCAAGAATTTGGGAGTTCTTTAAATGCCAACAATTGATAAATGTTAACAATCCTAATCCATGCAAATTACTGGCCTCTTTATTTATAATACAAAGCGGATGTGCTTATTCAAAGTATTCTAAATGAACTTTGACAAGCTGTACAATTAAACAGCCATCTCTTTTTCACTGCTGTCTGTTGAGCAGCACTCAACCTCTGCCTGGGAACCAGACACTTTCGGATTTTCGAGAAGTCTGAATTGATCAAATAACCCAATCTGCACATCAGAATATATAAAAAAGATGTTGAGACTCTGGAAAGAGTGCAGAGAAGAGCAACAAAGATGATTATGGGACTGGAAGGTAAAACATATGAAGAACATTTGCAGGAATTGGGTATGTCTAGTCTAGTGAAAAGAAAGATTAGGGGTGAGATGATAGCAATGTTCCAGTATTTGAGGGGCTGCCATAAAGAAGAGGTTTCCAAACATTTGTAACTCTGGCAAGGGAGTCCTGGTTTCTTCTAACCATCTTCTATTTTAAAAAGCGAAATTTCTATGTTGCCCTCTCTGTCTTTGTTTCAGCCTAGCCTGAGTTCACCTTAACTCAATTATATTATTATTACAGCGTGTCAGTTTGAGTTGCTTTCCCACTTATTGGCATATGGCTGTCTTCACTTTCATTGCTAATTCTTTTCCACTGGACTTGTTTAAAACATACTCATTTTCTCTTTAGACTCCGTGTTGTTCATGCATTACATTTCAATGATGCCTCAGTGGCTTCATTGGGAGAAGGAGGTGGATGAGGAGGGAGAATAGGACTCAGGAATCGCCTGGCTTTACATACGTCGGTTCAAGATGAGATGCCAGATTGTCAAAACACAAACGAGATGGCAGGGAAAAAGGTGAGCTGGGCAACCGATCTGTCAAGCGCTTGCCTAGAGGGCAGGTCCCAATTGGACCTTGTCCAAGGCTGTGGGCAGGAGAAAGAAAAGAGCCAGGCTGCTTATTGAAAAGAATATTCTATTAATAATTTCCCTCGGTGTTTAAATATCTTCCTTTTGACTATGCACTTTCAGCACTTCAGGAATTCTGGAATGAAAGGGAAGAAGTTGCTGGGGAAATGACACCTTACTTCAGTGGTTCTCAACCTGTGGGTCGGGACCCCATTTGGGGTCAAACGACCATTTCACGGGGGTCGCCAAACAACGCAGTCTGCCATTTTTTCCCCCTTTTCCTTAGCTGTGCTACTCCCTTTTATTCTATTGGCTTTTGAAAGCCAATAGAATAGACTCTCTTGAATAGAGTCTAATTCTATTGGCTTTCAAAAGCCAATAGGAATTGTCCAGGCTGTCTCTGCCCTGCTGAGCCCGCCAAAAGTCCCATTCTGCAAACGGTGCTGTACCAGTTGAGTAGTCCTCGACTTACAACCGGTTGAGTAGTCCTCGACTTACGACCAGTTGGGGGTCATAGCATTAAAAAGGTTGAGAACCACTGCCTTACTTCCTCTTCCTCACCATTTCTCAGGTAGGAAGAAATCATAGCTGGGAGCCTTCTTGCTATAGCACGGGCATATGTTTGACTTGTTTGATTGACAGTTGGAGAAATTATTAAAACCGAGGAATTGTTTCACCCCAATTGGAATGGCCAGCCCCTCCATGCTGGCGGAGGTGCCGTGTTTCCTAGCTACAGATGATACGTACTGCTTAAGCAGATACCTATTGTTTGAGCAGAAGTTGTGAGTTCAGGAACTTCCAATTACACAACAGTCCCAGCTGTAAACTTGACTCCAGTAATTATAAATCTAGAAGAAGTTAGTGTATCATTTTGACATGGTCTTTCTGAGGTAAAGACTCTGCCCTCGCTTTGAATACCACAATAGGACAAACCTCTAACAGAAATGGTAGAATATGGAGAAATCTCTGGATCAATTTTTTATTTTTTTGTTGAAATTCTTCTCTCTTCTTTCAGAATTTGTTGTAGTTTTCTTTCCCCGCAAAAGACCGCCAAATTTGCTATTCTTTTATAACCTTACTATTTTTCTGCTCCTTCTTTTCCATTTGTCTTTAAAGGCTTTAAAAGATTTTGTGATCCCTAATAAATAAATAAATAAATAAATAAATAAATAAATAAATAAATAAATAAAGTTAAATGTAACAGAGAAGGAAAGAAAAATATATAAGAAGAGTAGGCAAAAAGGCAACTGTTTAAAGATTGCATCTAGCTCAATGTATCTTTGATAGAAAAGAAATGAACTTAAATCCCTCAGAATTCTCATATTTGACTATTTTGCATAACAAAAATAGAGATATGAATCATTGGTTGAGTTTACATTGATTTGTCTCAGACAAAAATTGCTTTTGTGCATGTGTAGAAACCCTTTCAAGTCACTGACCTGATTTGGAGACATTCAATTGGATGACCTAATACCAATCAAATTACTTGATTAAATTTGGAGATTTGAAGGAATGACTTTTGAATCAAATCTCCAAAATGAAATTGCACATGGTCCTATGAAATCTATGTTAACCGTATTTCATTCATTAATTTTAATTACAATCAATGTAAATACAAATTTTAATGGAGGGGGCTGTTAAAAATACAATGGTAGTTTGCATCAGTGTAAGTACACTTACCGTCTCAGAGGAGTTAGCCTTGAAGATTCCTGTTCTGAAAACCCCATCTGTTGCTATCTATCTATCTATCTATCTATCTATCTATCTATCTATCTATCTATCTATCTATCTATCTATCTATCCATCTATCCATCTTTCCTTCTGCTGTCTAACCTCTCTCTTTCTATAAAAATATATACATATCCATATATAATGCACACACATAGAGAGCATACATATTCAAATGTTAGCTTCAATTTTTCCATGTCATTTTTGCAATCCTGCACTCTCCTTTCATTTTGTGCATAGCCAGCAACATCAATGTAGCGTAAACACTTATTTTATGGTGTAGTGGCTATGCTGGAAAGTTGCATGAATCTAATAATTTCAGGCTAGTAAAACAGTTTAAAAGCTTCCATGATCAACCTAAAGCTGACCTTTTAACTCTTGAGCAAAATGTGCTTTTATCAACAGAAGCTGCCTCTGAAATTTTTTAAAAAGGGAGGAAAATGCAAAGAGGGAAAAATAAATCACAACCAGAACTTGAGAGACAAAAGAACAAGAGGAGGGGAAACAGTTGTGAGGGTAAAATTGTACAAAAAAATGGCGGATGGTTTCTTTACATTTTTTATATGGAAGGAAAAATTATCCCGTTCCCAGGGAAAAATTTGGGACTGAATGGGTGGGTTGTAACTTTGTCTGCAGGACAGTGGAGAGGGTACTATGCAAAATATGAAAATAAAATATGAAAAATGTGAACAAAAGATATTCACAAGTACCACTATGTAACTAATTAAGAGCACGAAGAACACAATCCATGCCTAAAGCACTCACATATTTCTAATATTGGGAGTTTAAATGTACATGGGCTACTATGGTGTGGACCAATTGTACTTTTGGAATACTCTTCAAGGGCAGCCCCAAGTAAAGTGCATTAGCTAGTTATAAAGGCAGGAAATACAGATGTAAAATCCTTCTGCAAATCACATGCCATCATGTCAATATTTCCATTCCTATGACTTCCATTTGCATAATACCCTGTGCAGGATCTTCATACAGCCTATTATAATTCTGGTGGCTTTCCTTGATATTTTTTTCTCTCCCTCAGATGCTTTGCTTTTGAATTCAGTGCTTTCAGCTTTGCTTGAATGCTCCACAGTAGCTTTATGCACTGCCTGTAACCAATTACAGGATGGTTACGAAGGCACAACACCATGCATTTCACAGGAAATCTGAGTGAATGAGTTTCCCTTGGATGTGCATCATGGATCTCTTTTGATGGATCAGCTACTTCAGCTACTCAAAATGGCTGTTGAAAATAAAATAACTGAGTGGATCCAATGCTGGTGACTCTGCTTAGCAACTTTAGTAGACATGGGGAAAGCTGAGGAATGCGCGCGAAGTTTTTAAACCAGTTATTTCTCAACCCGATGGAGAAATTCGGCTTTACAAATTCTTTCCAAAATGACAAAGACACTTGAAGACATTGTCATTGGTTGAATGAAGTGTTCTTATACAGTCAAGGGATATTGGTGAATGTTCTGCCTTCTATTGTACCATTGTCTACCACTGTAGATTCAATTGCCTTCTATTGTACTACCATAGACCAAGGGCTTGAACTATTTTTTCCAAAGTGCCAAAAAGCAAGACAAGAAACAATAGTTGGAAACTAACCAGGGAATGAAGCAACCTAGAACTAAGGAGAAATTTCCTAACAGTGAGAGAAATCAACCGATGGAATGTCTTGCCTTCAGAAGTTGTGGGTGCTCCATCACTAGAGGTTTTTAAGAAGAGGCTGGACAGCCACTTGTCTGGAATGGTATAGGATCTCCTGCTTGAGTAGGGGGTTGGACTACAAGACCTCCAAGACCCCTTCCATTTCTGTATTCTGTTAAAAATATAATTCAACAGTGGTGAGGAAATGTGTGTGTGTGTGTGTGTGTGTGTGTGTGTGAGAGAGAGAGAGAGAGAGAGAGAATGTATCTATAAGAGAGAGATAAGAGAGAAAATACCTCATTTTGCTTCTCAGATTCTGTTAATGGATCTGCCTAATATTTGCTAAGCATACAGCCAGTCAATTAACAGATATCTTTTCACACTATTTTTATCCATAGCTGTTGAAACCATGAAAATGACAAAATGACAGCTGACAATTTTTTTTAAAGAAAATCTCATTTGCCTCATTGGAGGAAATACAGAGAATGCTGTATCTATAAGATGATTCAGACATTGCAAAAATGAGGACAATGGAACTGTTGGTATCCTTCTGTAGAATGGCATTTCATGGGTTTTTTCATTATATTGAAAATAATACTGATCCAAAATTTGTATCTAAGATTCTAAAACTTTCCTTTCCCTTCTAAAAGAGGTGTTAATCTCATTCTCAAGGGGCTTTATTTTTTATTTTTTAGATCCTGCAGAATGTCTGGAGTCCAATAACAGATTCAACCAAGTAAATTACACTTATAGCGGCTTTCGTTGTACAACATGGAAATTTGGTTAATTTTAACCTTATGTGTGTTCTTATATCTGAATCTCTCTCTTAGCATGTTATACAAACTCAACACATATGATTCATTATAGTTTAATGATCTGCAGATGATGCCAAACTGGGTTCATTTAGTAAGTGATTTAAGATGTTTGTGCAAAAGAAGAATAATTTATTTTATTTTAATTTAGTTTTCCTATGGAAGAGGAGGAGAAGGAGAAGGAGAAGGAGAAGAAGAAGAAGAAGAAGAAGAAGAAGAAGAAGAAGAAGAAGAAGAAGGAGAAGGAGAAGGAGAAGGAGAAGGAGAAGGAGAAGGAGAAGGAGAAGGAGAAGGAGAAGGAGAAGGAGAAGGAGAAGGAGAAGGAGAAGGAGAAGAAAGAAAGAAGATTTATTCACAATGGATTTCTGTATTTTTAATTTTGGGGGGGGACTCAAAGAATGAGGCTTCTGCTGGTCCATTAAATTCTTTATTTTTCTTCCAGTTAGGAACACACTGGGAAGTCTTCACCTATTTTGGAATTTAGCCAAGAATCATCAGATATTATGACAGCTAAATGTCTGGAAGAACAAGACATTTGGTTCTGTCCTGTGTGCTTCCTTTTTATTAAGTCATTAAGAATCAAATGGTTTCCCCCAAGTTGGTCCATGAAAATGCATTAGACCATAACAAATCCTTTTGATCTAAGATAAACTTGGCCAAGACAGAATATGGCACATAAATCATATTATGCCAACTGTTTTGCCCTCTTTTAATTCGCTCAGTTTGTGAAGTTAGGAGACATTGAAAGGAGATGAAGTGAAGTGAAGAAGGTGAGAATTGCTTTTTGACTTCACAGGGAAAAGCAAGATTGATTTACCTTGGAGGTGGTCTCGTTTTCATTTCTTTCATATTTCAATTTTTAAAAAGCCTTTTGGTTATTTGGGGACTCACAGTAGTGACTGCATTCTCTTTGAGTGTGCAGCTTCATTCCAGGAACCGTTGTTTCGCCATGCAAGTTTGGTCATGGGACCTTGCAATTTTGCATTATTAAATAATTATGAGAATGAGAGAATACCTGTGCTATTTGGGCTG